CATGATGATTGAAATGATCCCTAAATACTAATGGGGCTAAACCTATAGGAAACAGAAGTAACTTTAGCCAGAAGGTAAGAAGGAGACACCATGCTCTGGCATCCAATGAAACTATACCTAATTCTACCCTTAGGATGGCGTTTTTAACACTTTTTGGTACCATCAAAATGGCTCTAATAAACTTATTCTGAATGGTTTCAATTTTATTAAGCTTTGCAAGGGAGCAAATCTGAGAACCATAAAGGAGATGAGGTATTACCTTAGCTTGAAAGACCTTGCAAGCTGCAGGGATATAATGGGGTCCTTTTGAATGACAGAAAGAATGAATGAAAAAATTACTGGGGGATTTGTTTTTAAGTGTGCTTGGGAATGTATTGGCAGATATCTGATTAAAAGAGTACAGGATATGACAATGAGCAAAATTTAGGAAGTACAGTTCAACTGGAAGGTGTGCGGACCAAATTTTCTTCCTCACTAGGTCATTAAGAAATGTTGAATGAGACTTCCGGTGAGTAATGACCATACGCTAGGCTCCCCTTTTCAAGTGAAGAGTCATCTTCTCAGACTTTTTCAGGCTCAGGCAGGTTCCTGGAGCCTGAAGAATTCTCTGAATCCAAGGAGAACCCTAGAAATCATCCCATATGACTTCCGGACAGCCTTTCACAGCCAGAAGACCTCAAAATGGAGACTTTTGGGATCAACTGGTGAGTGATCAGCTGGGAGAAGGGGTTACCAGCAAGTTCCAAGCTGCAAAGAAGCCAAAAAAAAAAAAAAAAAGGACACTTGCACTGACCTTCTCATTTCCAAAATCACTTTTTGTTTGTTTGTTTGTTTTTACTTCTTTAGGGTTAAAGAGAGGCTTTCTTTAGTTACTGTGTATTTTTTCCTTTTGGCTACTATAGGTGCTTCGTGGAAAGATTTACATTGTTGTTGTTGTTTTTAATTAGATAAATAGTTTATATATTCAGCAAAAAAGGCAAAGGCTTGGACTTTTTATTAATTTTTAAGAAACAAGAGAAAAGGAATTCTTTTTATTATTATTATTTTTTCCTGGCAAATCTGAGCTTGGGTTTTTGATATTGGAATGTGGATATGGGAACTGTGTGAACACTGCTTTGTTTTCTTACTTAATTGGCCCTGAC